TGCGGACAGCAAGCCCTGCGCCGCCTTGGCCGATGCGGCGTCCGGCGCGAGCGCAAGCACGTTCTCCGTGGTCAGCGTCATGCTGGCCGTCTCCCCCTGGTCTGTTGGGCGCGCAGTCTAGGTCCAGCCGGCGGCCGTGGTCAGGTGAACCGAAGGGGCAGATTCACGCCGCGCGGTGGCGCAGCCGCAGCAGGCTCAGGCCCAGCAGCACGAAGAGGCCGCCCGACACGCGGTTGAACAGGCGCAGGTGGCGTTCCTCGGTCAGGAAGCGCCGCAGGCTGCGGAACAGCCCCACATAGACCGCGTGCGACAGCAGCGCCAGCGCGGTGAAGGTGGCCGTCAGCAGCAGCGTCTGCGAGACGAGGTGCTCGCCCGGCGTCAGGAACTGCGGGAACAGCGCCGTGAAGAACAGGATGGCCTTGGGGTTGGTGACGGCCACGCCGAGGCCCTGCAGGAAGAGCCGGCCCGGCGTGTGCGGTTGGCCCGCCACCGCGGCGGAAGCATCCAGCCGCAGCGGTGCGGCGCGCCACTGCTTGATGCCCAGGTAGACCAGATAGCCCGCGCCGACGAGCTTGACGACGAGGAAAGCCGAGGCCGACACGGCCAGCAGCGCGCCCATGCCGGCCGTTGCCGCGCCCGAGACGATGAACAGCCCCACCGCGTTGCCGAGCGAGCTGAACGCCGTGTGGCGCGGGCCGACCGCGACCGAGTTGGTCAGCGCCAGCAGCACGCCCGGGCCGGGCGAGAACGTGGCGAGCAGCGCAACGCCGCAGAACAGCAGCCAGGTCGAGAAGGGCATGGGATCGTCGGGGTCGGGTGGGCAGGGCTGGGGAAGTCTAGGCCGAGGGCTTCAACCCCATGTCGAAATCGGGCATCCTCGTTCGTCATGGTCGAGACGGTGCGCCGCCGTCTTCACCGCAACCAGGACGCCCGTCATGACCCTGAAGATCATCGACCGCCCCGCCGCCGTCATCGTCGTGGGCCTGCAGATCCGCGCGACGCCGATGTCGCCCGACATCCCGGCGCTGTGGCCGCGCTTCATCGACCGCGTCGCCGAGATCGGCCATCCGCTGGAGGAGCGCGTGACCTACGGCGTCATGCAGGCCGTGGCGGACGGCGGCGACCGCTTCGACTACCTGGCCGGCATCGCCGTCACGACGGCGGACACGCTGCCCGACGGCATGGCCCGCGTCGTGCTGCCGGCGGGGCTGTACGCCGTGTTCAGCTACCCGCTGTCGGGCCTGGCGGCGGGCTTTGGCGAAATCTACGAGCGGTTGCTGCCCGGGTCTGGCTGGGTGCAGCGGCCGGGGCCGTATTTCGAGCGCTATGGGCCTGACTTCTGCCCGGACGATCCGGCGTCGCTCGTGGAGATCTACCTGCCGGTCTCGAAGTGAACCGGGGCCGTGGCACCCGTCAGCGCCCGGGGCCCTTGCACGTGTAGCGCTTGCCCAGCATCGGCACCGTGCGCGGCGCGACGCTGTTGTTGAACGGGTCCGAGTCGGAGATGCGGGAGCGGAACACTTCCACGCAGGTGTTGCCCTTGCGCATGACGGTGCGGTGTTCGCCGAGGGCGCCGACGACCTGCGAGTGGTTCTCGACCGGCTCCTCGACCCAGGCGCCGGCGCCGCCGGTGGCGTCGGCGATGCGGTCTTCCAGCGTCAGCTTGGGCGTGTTGCTGCGCGGGTCGTCCAGCGCAGGGTTTCGCCTCGCATTGGCCGAGGCGGCGTAGCCGGGCGGCAGCGTCAGGCGCAGCGTCG